TATCAAATATATCAAATATGTCTGACATTTAGATCTGCAACGTTCTGCGTCACGTCTATCAATCCAATCCTGTTACACTATCCTCTTCCGTGATTAAAAATCAGATTTCATTAGATTTGAAGTCTATATACTAGAAATCTTGGAGACATAGTTCAACTATTATACCAATAAAGCTTATTTTTAAAATATGTAGATTTTTTCAGCTGATCATATCTTAAGAATACAGTTTTGCAAAATTATTATATGCGAAAATACTAATGGTTATCTTCAGGTATATCTGAGGCTAGACTATATGATTAGAGACTGGAAGAGATGTTTGCTTTACAAATTCAGATCGAATATAGAAATTGAAGTTAGCCAGTATTATTACACGAGAAAAAATATGCGGTCATAAATAATATTACTGTCTCTTAGCGATGTATGGTAATTTCAGTTAAGAGTACTATTCATATAATTCAATGCTAATATAGGTAATTTTTTCAGGATGGAGACGTTTTATTATTGCAAACCTTTTATGTATTTTTTAAGCCAGTTTTTTGCCTTTCTCTGTGAATAATCATTGATCTTCTTTTCTCTTTTATCTGAATCTTTAATCTGCATTATTTTATCTGATGAGAGCAGTTGAAAACTATCATCTTTATTAATAAAGTGTGTGCACATTCCTATTGTTTGTTCTAAATAGTAGCTGATATCTATTTCCATATTAAACTCTTTCACAATATTTGCGAACTTTATATAATCACTTTTCTTGTTAATTTCGTGCTATCTTCTTTATAGCGGAAACTATCATTTACTACAACATAACTAAAGTGCTCGCTAGAGTCAGAGATCTTTATATTTTTTTCCGCTTGCTATTTTTTTTCTTATCTGTTCCATAAAGATTCTATTGCATGCGAGGCCTCCTTTAGCCTTCCATTTAGATATTGCAATAAATTGGTTAAAATCCTACCGCTTAAATCTAGCATCTCAGAGAGCATCTTTGACAATTTTATGAATTGAACATGTGTTATTGATACCTATAACCTCCCACATAATCTTTTCTCCAATAAACCTAAAGAGCTCAGAATTTTTTTGCTTCACAGTATCAATTCCTCTTATAAAGAGATTATCCGGCCTAAAATTGATCACTTCTTCATGTGATATACTGAAATATTTTTCTTGCTGATGAAACAGACAGGAAATAATACCTCTTCATATGCCATCTTAAGATAAGATATGCTATTTTTTATCCTTAGATAAGCATTTACTTGATTACACAATCTTTTCATCATATTCATAGTAATTTTAACCATTTCTGTTCAGTATTCCTCCTTAGAAAGTTCTTTTCTAAAAAAGGCTTCATTGCACTTTTTATAATACTTATCTAGGCAGATGAGATACAAAGAATCAGTATTATCATATTTTAACTCAAATCCTTTCTTTGTTACAAATTCTACAACAAGATTAAGGTTATATTTTCCTGCTGAAGTAGTTCCTCCAGTTAATTCATGAAGAAAGATTGGAGATTTTGAGTTTCCTGCTTCCCTATAAAAAGTATTTATATATATCTTCAGAGCTCTTTACTTCAAATCAAAATAATCACAATTGAAGCATACAGATAAATATTCTGAACTTAAGCTTCTGAGAATCCTTTTGCCTCTTTTTTTAGCTGAACTTATTATCTTCTCAAGTTGTAGCTTTTTATTTTCTAGTGTGGTAAGATATGCTTTAAGCTCTACTCTCTTGTTGAATAAATCCTCTAATATAAGCCCTACTTTTCAAATTGATTATCATGTTTTACACTTTAAACTTGAACGGTGCGGTTATTAAATGAAAACTCAATCTTATGTAAAATGTTTCCACTTTTTTCTGCAATATCGACCTCTTCATGTGTTAGTATTATTTTTTTTGGAGAGAGATTATAAGCCATAATGAGACTGGGATATAATGAAGCAAAATCCAATTCCATTACAGGTCTTCTCATTTCAATCCCCTTTTTAGGCAGAAATACGTACGCGTTAGGATACTTACCCTTTTCTATATTTTCAAGTATTCTTATGCTAATTACTATATCACGTTTAAAAGCGTAAGCACTCAGAAGGTTTCGTATTTTTATTCTATTTGCACGGTAATGTGAGTTAAATAAAGATATATAAGCTATAGAAGTGACTTTTCTGTAATCATTTATTTGTCTTAGCTTTACCAAAAGCTCTTGACAGCACAATGCATCTATAATACAGTAATATGCTACTTCACGCATATTTCTTACGCTTGATGAGGAGGAACTTTTTTTCGCCTCTGAATAGATTTTTCACATTTCAATATATGGTATATCAGCTTTAGCATTGAGGCTACACTTTTTTAAGAAGAATTTAAGCAAACCTTTCTTTTCTACTTCTGAACAAGGGTAACATTTTTTGAGATACACTTGAACATTAATTGATATGCATCCTAAGAGTTTAAGAAAACTAGAATAAAAATCCTCTTCTGCAGTAATTTTGATCTTAATTGAACCTCCCATATATTCTTTCACTTCCTCGACTTTCTCACCCAATCCCCATATGGTCTCTTCTTCATCAGTATTCTTTTTCTTACCTTTTTCTTGAAATTATTTTCAGATTTCGCTTCTATCATTTCATGATATTTCTACTTTAGGATTTTTTCCTTTGTTTCGAACTTTTCTGTCATTTGTTCTCATATCCATTCAAGTATGTTGAGATGATATGCTCTCTCTATAATAAAACACCAATCATAATCAGAATTGTTAAATCTAACTTGAACGTCAGGTATAAATGCTTGCCAGCAAAAGGCAAATGCTTTCAGCAGATTTTCTTGATTTCTACATACAATTATAGTTCAGCGTGGATCTGGTTCTGTCTCAACATCGACAAGACATATTTGCTTTAGTAGTTTTGGATCATCTTTCTAATGTAATGTCATGCAAATCATAAAATATTATGATTCAGATCAATAATTTCAACAAATTTACCTAACTCTCGAGATTGCGTCTCTATATCCCATGTGAGAATAAAAGTACAATCTCGTAAGAGAGTTAAATGGAGAATCGGTTACTTATTATTTTTAGGTCTATCACTGGCCAAAAATCCTTTTTAGAAGTATAGAATGCATGCGGGCAGAGAGGATCAATTTTATTCTTATAAATATAATTACTTAGCATAGACCATCCAAAAAGTTGAATTCCATTCTCTCTTGCCACTTTACGATGAAATGAGTATAAGTCATCTGATGCAGTTTTGTAATTATTATCTTGAATAGCTTCTATGGCTGTCTTTCTTTTACCAATGCCACTTATATAAATTCATAAATATGTCTTTTTTTCTATATGATAACTGTGGAAAGGGAAAGCTTTAATATGCTCTATTTTTAAAGTCTCCACTTTACTACTAGAGAGAATATCTCTTACTTTTATTTCACAATCATTCGGAGACTTCCTATCTGATACAAGAATATCAAAGAATACCTGAATACTGAGAAGTGTTACTACTGTTTTCTGATCTTTAATAAGAGAGCTGTAGAGACATAATACATAGCAGTACTTTCCTTTTATCTTTTGACTGGATCCTTCATTATCAGTAGCCATAAATGGAATATCTTGGTAACTGAATAGAGCATTATCAAGAATTGCGGTTAATCCCTCATCATTTTCTACAACTATATCATCTCGTGTTAGAAAACTGGTCAAGTTTTTTTCGCCAGAATAATG